GGGGAGCAGTATTTGATGGAAGAAAGATTGGGCGGAGGTGGACCCCATCGGACGCTTTAATCTGTTAGAACTGCAGGCAGCATTTTTTGGCCTTAAATCCTTTGCAGATGATACTAGGGGAATACATAATCAGCTGCAGTTAGACAACAAAACGGCAGTTGCCTTTGTTAATAACATGGGGGGTTCTAAATCTCTTGAGTTAGACCGACTAGCTAAAGACCTGTGGGGATCGTTTATCTCTCGGGAGATATAGGTCTCCGCTGTCCATATCCCTGGAATATCAAATATCGCTGCAGATGAACAGTCGCGCCATTTCAATGACAAGCACGAGTGGGCTTTGAACACTGGAGCTTTCCAGGAAATCACTATAGAATACCCTGAGCTTACCATAGACTTGTTTGCCACAAGGCTCAATCATAAGTTTGACACGTACTGTGCCTGGCAACCAGACCCTGGGTGCTCTTTCGTAGATGCCTTTTCACAAAATTGGCACCCTTTTCATTTTTATGCATTTCCACCTTTCAGCTTGATCCCGCGATGCCTCCAGAAAATCAACAAGGAGAAGGCAACAGGCATTCTCATTGTCCTGTTATGGCCAAGCCAACCATGGTTCCCATTTCTTATTCAGCATCTTTACAAAACCCCATGGATCCTGAACCCAGTCAAGAACCTCCTTCAACACCTAGGACATCAGAAACCCCACCATCTGTGGAGAAAACTGAAATTGATGGTATGTCCTGTCTCAGGTATTCCTTCACAAACTACAATATTTCTGGACACGTTGCCGACATCCTCATGGCATCCTGGCGCCCTGGCACCCAAAAACAGTACAAGACCTACATTGAACAGTGGCTCAAGTTTTGTGGTGAGAGGAGAATTAATTGCTATTTCCCACAAATGGGTGAAGCTTTAGATTTCCTGGCGGGCTTACATGACAAACACCTTAGCTACTCCACATTGAACACTGCCCGATCAGCTCTCTCGTCAATTTTACACATGAATACCTGCAGCAACTTTGGTTCACACCCACTTACAGTATGATTTATGAAAGGGGTTTTTGAAGAACGAGTACCTCATCCTTGGTACAATAAAATATGGGATGTTTCGCTGGTCCTAAATTACTTGACCACCTCGGACCCGGTAGAGAAATTGACATTGAAAGATCGGACGCTCAAGGTGTTTATTATGTTACTCCTACTGATCACAGGACAAAGAGGACAATCGATACATTAGCTTAATATTATCACTATGCATCTTAGTGATACCTCTTGCTTCTTCAACCTGACTAGCCACACCAAAACAAGCCAACCAGGAAAACCAGCACCAGCTATCACTATCCAGGCTTTCGAACAGGACTGCCGCATATGTCCCATAAAAACACTGAAAGAATACTTGAAACGTACACACACCATCAGAGGTGATGAACAACAGTTGTTTATAAGTTTTGTTAAACCGCATAAATCAGTATGAAGAGATACAATCTCTAGATGGGCTAAAATAGTGTTGCAAAGATCTGGTATTGACACTAAGCTGTTTAGAAGCCACAGCACAAGAGCAGCCAGTGTTTTCAAAGCTAAGCAGAAGGATGTACCTTTGAATGAAATTTTATCCCGGGCTGGCTGGAGTACTGCTGACACATTCCGAAAATTTATATGACAAACCCATCATGTCAAGTAATGACAGTATGGCATCTGCTATATTGAGACATTAGACTCGCCAAGTCTCCTGTTATCCTATGTATTATTCCCTATAGGTTCGTGTTACTTTTAACCAAAAAAAATTCTTCTTTGGTTACTGTTCCATTGTGATGCTACATGTGGTCGCACATAACAGAATAATTGGTGTAGTAAATGTTACATGTTACTATACACCTCCACTTTCTTCGTTTGCATGTGGGTGCTCGAAGGCTTATAAGTCTCATGGGATCTCTCGCTCTGGTAGTCATGTGACAGAATTGGAAGATTAAACGAGACTTACCTGTAAGTTGAAGTTTGATTGAGATTCTATCACATGATTTATTTAATCACTTTCACCAGAGTGTGGTGAGGGTCGCACAACAGAGCGAGGCTCCAAATTAAGTGCGCCCAATATCCCACCCATCCCACCCCAGGGGAGGACATCCATCACACAGTAATCTCGTGTGTGGGAAATTAACGTCTCCTACCCCAACCCTGCAGGAGACGGGACCTCCATTTATTCGTCCCTATCCGAGAAGACTAGAACCGAGAAGACTTACCTGTAAGTTGAAGTTTGATTAAGATTCTATCACATGATGGACAGAGCAGGGAGATCACAGTGTGTAGTCGCTAATTTCACACTTTATTCCTTAGCTCACAATCGAGATTAATTTTATGATTCGAATGTATGAGCCTTTGGAATCCGCAACAACGCTAACTGAAAACTTCAACAACCAACATGTCCGACTCAAAACAAAACGTTCTTCGTGTTTTCTCCTCGCTCGTTATGCGTTATGGGAGGCACAGGCCTCCCAACACTAAAAACAAGAAACTCCCCCTTTTTTTTGTAAATGTTCAACAAAAAGGTAACAACAACATGCCCACTCTTTTCTATTCACCCTCCCTATAGGGGTTATATGCAAATATTTCACTTATTGAAACATACCTGCACTTCCTCTGTGGGGGTGAACTGGGGTTTCTTCCCTTCTCACATCCACACCTTTCAAGAATGATCTTGCGCGCGCGCTGTACTATCTCATGCAATCTCCCTGCTCTGTCCATCATGTGATAGAATCTTAATCAAACTTCAACTTACAGGTAAGTCTCGTTTAATCTTCCAATTAAACTTGTAATTGTAGCTCTAAATCATTAGGGTTCTAATGACGATCATTTTTTATGTGTTAGAAAAAAAATGTTATTGACCAGCATAGGTCGGTCCGTATTGGGAAAAACTGTGCCCATTGTCTTGGGTATCCAAGACCTCGGGCACAGTCTTTCTCAATACAGACCTCCGGCTGGTCAATAACATATGTATTTTTATTAGTTGTGCCGTATTGTGAGGAGCCGGTGGGGCGGGTCAAAATACAAATAACGAGTAAAAATACTCAGCGATACGACACACCAAAACGTTTAATCAGTTATTTACTATCCAACACTCCAAATTGTAATTTCAGTACGGCCGAATTTCGAGGATATTTATTTACGGGGAGTGCGTGACAGAAGTATGAGAAGCGGAACGGAATTGGCGCGATGTCTTGTTGCTGTTTCTATTTTGTTCAGTAAATGCTGAAATTTCATTGTCGTCCAGCTACTTTCCTTCGTTCGATTTATCTGATAAACCTAAATCAATATTGCTGCTAAACCCTTAAAATATTAATAGCAATATTAAAGAGCAATATGACAGTCTCTTAACTTGACCCTCATTGTTGTCATTCATGCAACCCAACAACAGCGGCACGATTGTCGATTTTAGATTTTTTGCTTCAGCACCGATAGAACGATGAGTAATTAGCCGATGCACGTTTCTCACTTCTGATCAGAATTTCACAGCTGCATGATTACGGTTTTAACTTTAATCACGTCTAAAAACGTCTGATTTCATTTTGGCGCAAGCTTAAGACTTTCAAGTCCGGTTTAACGAGGTCAATTTCTTTGTCAGTATGTGATTACAGACTGAAAAACGCGTCCGGTTTCCGGAAGTGAGAGGTTCTGGTTTACCGAGGTTAGAAATAGAGAAAATGTATGACAGAGATTTTGGGGCCGAAAAAAAGGTCCGGTATGGAGAGGATTCCGGTTTAATGAGAGTCCGGTTTAGAAGGGTTCCACTGTAGTTCAAGGAGGTATCCAATTGCGGTCTACTCTGTCTTATTTTTTATCCTGACCTTAGGAGTTTAGGTTTACTTTTTGCTCTCTTGTTCCGGGTGTTACGAAAACGAAGACCCTCGAAAACGAAGACTTAAGACCTAAGACCCGGTCCTCGTTTTCGCACTACGAAAAGGAAGACCCTGTAAACAGAAAACCGTAGAAATTACAAGTTAAACCCACATTAAACAGTATTTTTTAACGAGCATTTTCCAGCAGAGAAAGCTTAACGACCGTCAGAATCTATTTTAGCTACGAAATAGAGTAGAAATCGATTATTTATTGACAGAACCCCTGAGTCATTTTTCCTGTAAAGAACGCTTTCTCTGTTATTCTGTCACGCAATGCTAAATATAAATCAAAGACAGCTGGCGTTTCTTCCCATTATACTGCTCGTTTATTAATACGAGCAGTATAATGGGAAGAAACGCGTGAAGTGTAATGTACTAAGCGTTGTTGCTGTTTAATGTCTGTTTAACTTGTAATTTCTACGGTTCTCTGTTTACAGGGTCTTCGTTTTCGTACTACGAAAACGAAGACCGGGTCTTAGGTCTTCGTTTTCGAGGGTCTTCGTTTTCGTAACACCCCTCTTGTTCCTGCCTCGTGCCAATAATAACTCTGCAAAGCATCAACAATGAAGATAGGTCGAGGGGTCTTTTAAAGGTTATTTGATCCACGCTTTTACACCAGACATAACAGAAAATCCATGGACGCCTTTGGACTTGGCCAGAAGCCAGCGTTGTTCAGATTCCGTTTATGCACGCAAAAAGCGCTTAGCCATAAGGTTTTCACCATACCGTTAGACCTACGCTTCTCTTTCTGCTATAGTCTAGCACAGAACAGGAAGTTTCCTTCTTCAAACACCGGGGTATGAAACTGTTTTGCAGAGGAAAAATGAGAGAGCTAAGGGGTATCCCAGAGAGCTTGGGATGTTACACAATTTGTCACGGTGCAATAAAACTCTTGCGCTAAGTTTGTTTTCGAACCGCAATCGAAACACATATTGATGCGATGCAGTCTATTTGTTTTTTGAATTTTGAGGAAGGGTGACGAAGTTCAGTTTTTCAGCTGAAGAATCGGTTGCAAGAGATAGGGGACTAGGTCGTATGTTACAAACATTATTCCACGAGAAAGGTACTCGATCTCGATTAACAGTCTTCATTGACTCTTCTAAACCCTTACCTGACGATACAAAACTGGTGAGCAGATTGATCAGGCATAAAGCTTTCCACAACGACATCCTGGATTCCTCATTGAAGATGTTGCTACGCAAGCGATAAGGAAATTGGAAATGAAACTTTGGTACCCAAACCCCTTCAGCTTTTTTTATTTACANCCAATATGCCATCTCTACCCCGATTTTCCCTTTCTTTTTCAGCGGTGAATTCTAGGACTAGCGCTAATCGTTAGCCCCTTAAAATAAAGCAATACGCAAATAGCTTAATTGTCACATTCAATTTTTGTCCCGGTTTTTTGCTTTTCTTCCAAGAATCCTGTAAAAAATGGGGTAAAATCGGACAAATTCATCCTCCAAGTGAAACATATCCCAACTTGTTATTTGTAAACTTTACCCGATTTTCCATTATTTTCAGAAAATTATAAAAAAAAAATTCAACTCATAAAAAGAATATATTCCAATGTGCTGAATGAATTTTTCAATGAATTCTGAAAACGGGCTAAACTCGGGTCATCCCTGATTTTGCGGGTTTTTTCCCAATTAATTCCAGAAAAATGAGGTTAATTCTGAGAATTCATCCCGTAGGTGGAATACATTCAAAGTTTCTATATCCAATCTTCAAACGATCTTCCATTTTTATTTCAATGAATTCCAGAAAAAGGGGGTAAGTTATTACAATTTATGCCGTAAGTGGAGTATATCCTAAGTTGTCATATCCTATCTTTACCCCGATTTTCCTTTTTTTAATAAATTAATTCCAGAAAAACAGGGTAAACTCTGAGAATTCATGCTACAAGTGGATAATACCCGAAGTTCCCAAATGCCATCTTTGCTTCGATTTTCCTTTTTATTTTGGTGAATTCTAGAGAACAGGGGTAAATTCTTAGAATTCATCCCGTAAGTGGAATATAACCTTCGTTGTCATGTCAAATCTTTCCAGATTTTCCTTTTTTAATGAATTAATTTAAGAAAAACGGGGTAAACTCTGAGAATTCATGTTACAAGCGGATAATACCCGTAGTTCTCTTGATTTTGGAATTTTTTTCAAGGAATTATAGAAGAACGGCGTAAAGTATAGTAACTCATCCTCCAAGTCGAATATATTCTATTGACTTGCCACATCTAATCTACTTTACCCCAATTTTCCATTTTTTTTCACTGAGTAGAAAAACAGGGCACATTCTGAAAATTCATCCTCCAAGTGTAATTTATCCCACTGACTTGCCATATCCAATCTTTACCCGATTTTCCATTTTTTTTTTTTTGATAAATTTTAGAAACACGAAGTAAATGCTGAGGTTTCACACTACAAGTGGATAAGACCCCAAGTTCCCATATGCCATGTTTACCCTGACTTTCCATTTCTTTTTTTCAGCGGTGAATTCTACGATAAGCGCGGCTAATCGTTAGCCCTCCAAAATAAAGCAATACGCAATAACTTAATTGGAATTAGGAGTTTTTTTATAACGCCGGCCCGGTTTCAGTTATTATTAATTAACTTCCATAGAAATTCAAAACTTAGCGGGATAAATTCTTAGAATTCGTCCTTCAAGTGGGAAAGACCTTAAGATGCCAAATCCAATCTGTAACCGGATTTTCAGTTCATCCTCAGAACTAAATAGATCCCAAGTTGCCATAGCTAACCTTTAACCGGATTGTCCATTTTTTTTTTTGTCAATGTATTCTAGAAAAACGGGATGAATTTGGAGAATTCGGCCCACAAGTGGCTAATACCCTAAGTCCCCATATGCCAACTTCACCCCGATTTCCATTTAAACAGTGAATTTTTAAAAAGCCGGTAAGTTTTGAGCATTCATGCTACAAGTGGATAATACCCGAAGTTCCCACACGATCTCCTCACCCCGATTTTCCATTTTTCCTTTTAAACAAATTCTAGAAAAAACAGAGTAAAATCTAAGAATTCATCCTCCAAATGAAATAGATCCCGAGTTTCCATGTCTAGTCTTTAACCCCATTTTCCATGTTTTTTCAATGAATTCTAGAGAAACGGGATACAGTAATTCTGCGAATTCATCCGCAAGTGGCTAACACGCTAAAGTTTCCATATGCCATCTTTACCGCAATTTCTCATTTGATCAGCGAATATTAATTCGAGAAAAGCGGGGTAAATTCTGAGCCGTCACGTTACAAGTGAATAACACCAGATTTTCCATATGCTATCTTTGCCCCAAATGTCCATTTATTGTCAGTTAATTTGACAAAAAACGGCGTAAAATCTGGAAGTTCATCCTCCGAATGAAAGAGATCCCAAGCTGCATAGCCAACCTTTAACCGGATTTTCCTTTTTTTTTTTTAATGAATTCTACAAAAACGGGATGAATTTTGAGAATTCGGCCCATAAGTGGCTAATACCCTAACTTCCCATAGGCCAACTTCACCCCGATTTTCCATTTCATCTGTGAATTTTAGAAAAAGCCGGTAAATTGTGAGCATTCATGCTAGT